AAAACAAACATGGAATTATATGTATATTCTTTGATAAAATGTTTTTTAAAGGGAAAAAAGTTCACAATCTAGACATTTCTATGCAGCAGAGCTGTATGTTTTCTGTCAATAGCTGTACTTTTGTAAATTATTACAAGTTTTAAATGTCATATAAGACTAAGCATTTCAATATGTGATAGTATTAAAACAACTTTATAAAGTTTAACTTTTATTCAACCTTGAAATTCAAGATCTATAAGTTAATTATTAGAACAACTTTTATTCAACCTTGAAACTCAACACAAGTTATAAAAGACAAATAAACCTTAGTAACAAGTTTTTATTACGAAAATGTCATTCATAATTTGCAAAAAAAAAAAAAAAATCAAACATTTGTTAACCGCGGCCGCGGAGGCTGCGGAAGTACCGGATCGTGCTCGGCGGAGGTGTGGAGGCTGCAGAAGCACCATAATTTAGGTAAAAATCGGATTAAAAATCAAAAGTTGGAAAAAAAAATTCAAAATCTTTTGATTTTTTGTTACAAAAGAGATATATGATGTTAGATCTACTAGTTTTAGGCAAAATCTAATTGAAAACGAGTTAAAATACAGTAAAACGAGCTAAAAATGGCTGGCCGCCATTGTTAGGGTTTGAGAAAAACTTGGTGTTTTGTGGAGAAGATGAAAGGTAAAATTACGATTTTATCCTATATTGAATAAGTCTACCAATCACAAAATTAACTCTACCACTACTACAAATAAGTCTGCCACATTTTATAAATCTACCACCACTATAAATAAGTCTACCATTGCGCGAACCATCAATAAATCTACCGATCACAAAATAACTCTACCACAACTACTAATAAGACTATCACTTAAAAATAAATCTACCACTACTGTAAATAAGTCTACGATGGCGCGAACCATCAATATGGCTACCGATCACAAAATTAACTCTACCACCACTAGAAATAAGTCTACCGATCACAAAATTAACTCTACCACTACGAGAAATAAGTCTACCACATATTATAAATCTACCACTACTATAAATAAGTCTACCATCGCGCGAACCATTAATAAGTCTACCAACCACTTAATAAATCTACCAATCGCAAATAAATCTACCAACACATGAACGGTAGACTTATTCGCTGCCTCATTAATGATATTTTCGTAAATACGTTTTTTCTGTTCAAAGAAAATAAGGTTAAAACGGGTATTAATAGTTTTTCAAGGTTGTTTGAGTAATTTTCAAAGAACAGCATCATTTTGGTAAAAAAATCAACTTTGTAAGGTTGTTTTAGTAAAACTCCATAGTATTAACTCAAAGTTATGTTTCTTACAAGTTGCTCAAACCTTTTTTTATAAAAAACTCTAACACACTTTCTTTTGGAAAATTTGTTTGTTTCCGAAAAAAAATTCTCAAAAATAAAATAATTGTCTCTTTTGTGAAATGTGTAATAGAGTATATCTTAAAATACAAAAATAATTAATATTGTCATTTTGATTGATCTGTTGAACCACTCTGAAAGATGGGGGTCCCTCGGTTTCTCCGCCTCCCCTTTGGGCGATTTTAGGCGATATTTTCAAACTTTTTTTTTTGTAGATCTGAGCTTTGATCGGTGCCGGTGGCTCTGTTAGCACCGATGCCGGTCCTTTTGTTTTCGTTTTAGCTTCGGTTTGGGATGTGCAGCCTTGAAGAGTTGATTTTCTTCTGATGGTTTGTGGTGGCTCTTTCGGCAGTGTGGCTATGGTGGTGGTTAGGTGTGGTTCGGGATTGTGGTGGTGGTTCGTGATGAAGTTTGATGCTCATCTATATACTGGTGGTGCGCTTGACCTTTACTCGCGAAAACCGCTCTTGTGCTCCGATCGATCTCCCTCTGGATCTGGCTATGCTTGCCGAATCGGTGGATCTCTCATGTTGTTGGTCGTCTCTCTTCGGTGAGGTCTATTTTTCTTTTGTAGGCTCCTGGATTTTGACTTCTCGTGGTTTGGTTCCAGCTTTATCCACTTGGTGTTAGTCTTCTCCGTTAGGCCTAGTCGTAGTGTTTTCTTCGCCTTCTTATTTGAGAAGGCTTGTGTAGTGGTGTGTAGATGGTGTTGTGTTTCGCATAAGATGGTGGGTTTTGGGAGTTGCTCTGATGGTGATTGTGGTTTGGTCGTAGCCGCTTTTATTACTATTGGTTTGCTCTTTCTGCTTGCTGATCTTGTTTGTTGTGGTCCTCGCAATCGTCCTGGAGTGTGTTGTGCGGTTCTTTCATCAGATCTTTAGGTGATGTTGGGTTGGATTGAAGTGCTTATTGGTGGATTGTAAATTATGGAAGGAGTTGATAGCGAGACTGATTTCCCTCGCCCAACTTATTGGTGTGCTTTTTCTTACCGTTTTTTCAGAATAATCTCCAATCGGCGATGTACATCAATTTCTTGCCTCCTTTAACTAGTGAGCATAGGGTTGAATATCATTTGGAGTCTTTTCGGTGGGTTGGTTTGCTCTTCTTGTTGGTGATCGCTTGCTTCCCGTGCTTTCATCGTCTTCTTCCGATGTGAGCTTGCATTTGATTTCATCCACTGTGGATTGGTGGTTGCTGATTCTTCAATTCATGCGTCATTGCCTCGTGTTCGTCCTTGGTTTGTTTGTACTGCTTAGTATCTCTATGATTCGGTATTGTGTTGTACCTTTCGAATTTGGATCCTTGTTTTGGTAGTTGTTTGGATTTGTTTCCCTATATTGAGATTCAATTCTAAACGGATTCGTTTCTGTATTGGTATGGTTATGGTTAGGTTTATCCCCTACCGGCCATGATCTTATGTGTAAAAAAAAAAAGATTGATATGTTAAAAAGTTGTATTATTAGATTTGATAAAATCATATATTAGAGTTTTTTTATACGTAGCGAATATAATTTCAAAATCAGGCCGGCCGGTTCAGATCGAAATTCTTAAACTGATTTTTTTGGTTCGTTGGTTATCTCGAATTTGTTTTGTTCTGCTTTCTTTCTCCATTGATCACATCTCCGAGCTATCGTCACGAGATCCAAAAGCTTTCAATGGCGGCAA